CTAGCACCAGGTCTCCACACACCACCCTGTAGACATACGCCAAAGTCAGGGAGAGTTTATCTTGTATTCCAGAAAGTCTATTCTTCTGAACATGGTGGTACCTAAGTATCTAATTCAAAGTTCATTAAAGTACTTTTAATGGAAGTAAATATACTTCCAGCTAAGGAAAGTGAATGAGGTGGGAAAACCTACGTAACATCGGATTGTTCTGTAGGGAACAGTCTAGGGAGTGCTGAACTGACAGTGTGGTTTTCCTCTGTCCCATTCTCATTTAATGGTGTGAATGCCTCAACAGTTTCAGGAGATGCATCGACTGTGCAAAGGCAGGTTTACTCTGGGACAACAGGGAGAGACCCCAAATATTATGGGAATCCATTTCCATTGAATTGCAAGGGACCAAGGTTTTAGTATCTGCTACGTAGTCACAGTACCTGCGTCTGCCAAACATAAAGGCAGCCTTTCGGGTCCACCCTATGACATAGCTTTCCATATAATCTGGGAGTTCTTTGTAGGGGAGGGGAAGACAAAGACTAACTTGATGTAAATAAATACAACAACTGCTTGTGTTAGATTTGGGAAAGTTGTTAAAAAGTTAAAAGCTCTAATAAACACTTAACATCACTCTGGATTTCCCTTCCTCCTTTTCCCCTTCCTTTCCTCAAAAAGGGGAAAATAAATGAAATTCTTCTGAATGTGGCTCTATGAAAGGAGCTTTGCAACAAGCTGTTGGGAAGACAGTTGTTGTAGAATTCATCTGACAGCCTATGGTAAATCTGAATTAGTTGCCCTCCATCATTTCATTGACTGGAGGTTCAGTCAATATAGTTAGTGAGTCTAGGGCATGAATTGGCTCATTCTAAAATAACCATGTAATAGAGTTCAGGGGAATCATATGTCTGTAAGTACTTTTTTTCCTACATTTAATTAAATATAGCACACCCTTAAAGTCAGATACACAGCAGAAAAATAAGATTTCCTTGTGAGTGACACCATCTTCTCACAACTACTTTCCATATTTAAGGATGGTTTCTTCTCTGGAGCATGTAAATCCTGCAGCAGTGCAGGAGACAGACCCAGGAAGCCGCCTACAGAAACCATTCCCTCGTCCCGCTTGTGCCAGTGTGTGCTCCCACAAGTAAGCCAGAGGGTGCGGTTGTGCTTGGCAACCTGCTTTATAGCAAAGCTTCGTAAACCACTCATTTTTCAAGGCTTCCTTCTTCCAGAAGTGCTATAATGAGACTGGAGGTCTGCTCAAAGCCCTGTATAACTTGCTTCTCCTAATAACTGATGGACTCTAAGGTTAAACCTGCCAACTATGAAACTAGACACTTGAATTCCTGACTATGCCATTGACAGATAACTTTGGTAAAGGAAATAAATGTTAGCCCTCAGAAAACACATCAGACCTCCCTCAGGTTAGTGAAGACTATGAACAGTGACAATCCTTACACTTAAACACTCAGTAACACCCTCATCGTGCTCTCTAATAGAGCAAAGCCATTAAGTTGTCCCCATTGTAATTTAGATCACAGAAGCGACTTCCACAGATTCTTTCAGGTTAAAATAACTGGTATATAGAGAGTAGGCAAAATTATTCTGCTGTAGCTACGTGCTTAATTATATGGAATACTGCATAAATTGTCAAGTGCAAAGAATTATTCTGATAAATTAAAATACTAATTAAATAGGCTATTGCAGAATTTTGAGAACATTATAGGGCTCCGCTTCTTCAGGTAATTTGCATATCCTTCATCTAGTGAATTTAATTTAAAGGCCTCCTTTTTTGTGTGTTTGGAAGCCCTTTTTGTTTCAGTGGAAGATTAAAAAAGGGATTTATATATTGCTAACTGGGTTGGGATTTTTTTTTTTAATAGCTGTTTTTATTATGCCTCTTTGCTGATGAGTTTGTCAACTCTCCATTAGTATTTCAGGACTTTAAACTGTGGCCATAAAAAATCAACTTTGGTGGGATGTGCAATATACCATGTTACCCAGAATTATCATTTCCAGTTCATAAAATTTGCAACAGAAACATCATCTTCTGTATATTTGTATTGGAATAAAAGCTAGCAGGTAGTACACTAAAATACTTTAAAAAGTATTTTCAAAATATTAGTAGCTTGTTCTTAAGATCTGCATTTATTTTCCCACCACTTCTTCCTCATCTATTTATAGGCTATCGACTATGTTTTATTGTCTTAAATTCTCAATTATAGTTATCGATAGAAAAAAATTAGGTAGCTATATTCACTCTTCAGCAGCTTGAAGCAGCTGCTTGATATGTAGTTGATGCTTCAGCTACAGCACCAGTGTTTTTGACAGCATTTCTTGGCTTCCCTGAACTGCTTGTGGAGTTCAAGGTTAGCTAAAATATGCTCCCGTACACGCCTGGAGTGAACATGCCGGAGACTGTCTGCTGTGTCTCTCTCTGCAATCTGACAGTGCCTGAGCTTGACCATTTTCAGGTTATGATTTAATCAATAACACGTCATGCCTTTGTGCCTCCTAATTTTGGCAGGGTTTATGTTAGCATGGCTGTTAGAGCTGTCCTTTGTGTTTTAGCCAATATCAAGGGGGGAAGGGGGGTGTTAAGAAAAATTTTTTTTCTTTTTAATATCAAAGCTTCAATAATTAAAGTCTGCAGGAAACCTATAGAAAGGAGGTCAAATATGTAATAGTAATTACAAAATTCAGTGTTTCAGCAGAGCCAACATTTTCTATTAACTGTTCATGTGGTAGAAAATTACACGCTGGGATTTAAGCCTTGTTGTTTACTTATACCCATTTATTTTGCAGCCACTCTGCTGTGCAGTTTTCTTTACCCTAAGCTACCAAAAAATCATTTGTTGGACCATTCAGTTTCTTTGAAGGAGGCTGTGGAGCTTTCTGTTTTTATAAATCTTCTAAATTTTTGCATTTCGTAGAAGTTTGCCTTTAATGTGTATGCTGGGTGTGAGGTGGTCAGTGTGGTAGCGTGGCACACCTTTGCAACGAAATGGCACATCCAAAAGGGAGAATGGTGTTACATGACATGGCAGGTCATCGGCCATCAGTGAAGCAACATACTCCAGAGTCCATCTCAAGGCTAAAAATCAAGTTTGTTGGCAAAGATTTACTTGTTTTTTGGAAATTCATACTGCACAACATATATAACACAGTGAAAATGTAGCCTCAAATCGCATGGTCCGGGTGACATTCCTTCTCATGTGGTCCCTGTGACTCTGGGTGGAATAAATATGTTTGTGAATGTGTAAAGCATGGCATGAGTATTAAGTACCTGAGTATTGTATGCGGTTTTTAGGCTGTCATCCAGAAAAACATGCGTTTAAGCTTTCTTAGCTTAGGACTCCGTGTTCCCATCTGCTTAATCAGAAGCATGTTAAAAAGAAGCAAAAATAAAGCAGTGTGAATCTAAAGGGTGGGCAGAGCTTTCCTCTCCATTTAAATCATGGGCACTATTCATGCCTTGCTGAAGGTAGTCAGAAAAGTTTCTCCATATAAGAATTGCTTGAGGTTTCACTTCTTGAGTCTTTGCACATACAAACTCTTACCAAAATCTTTCCATGTTTTGGATATATGAGGTGAGATTGAGCCATAACAGTACGACTTGCCTCTGAAATAAATGTGAGTCATTTGTGTTGCACATTGGACAAACTAAATAAAGTATCCATTCACAATAATATTGCTTCTGAGAATTGTCTGCTGTAATCTGAATTGTTCTGAATATGTTTAGAACGGCAACAATTAAAGAGTATTTTTCACAAATGAAAGAAAAATATATTAGTTCCTTTCAGTATTTTTATGTAAATTTAGAGTTTACAATATGTTCTAGCACACTTCCTTTCTGGCAGGAATGTTTCCTTTAGGCAGCTTAAATTAAGAAGCTGAGACTATCCAAATTGTGTCCATAATCAAAGGAAATAGATAGGTGCCTGCAGATGTGTGTAAGATATGTGGGATGACTCATCGTATTAAATGTCCATCCCTTTCCATTGACTGCAGAGAGAACCTAGATGACCCACTTGGATTACATAGTCAATGACTAGACGGCTAAAGGGAGGAGAGTTGAACAAGGCTGCAAGGCTTCATTTCTACTCATAAATAAATCAAGCCAGGTGCCTGGGTTTTGGCCATGAGTCCAACTGACACAGTTTGCATCTAGAAGGTTAAAGTCTTCCCATCCAAAACTGGATAACCTTACCCATACTCCCAGCTGGGAATAATCTCATCCATGTGCTGTCCCCAGAACTGTGACTGGGCATTGTTTTGTGAGAATACTAGTGGGCAGAGGCCAAAATCATGTGAAGACCATAGTAACGACTTAAAAGTATGGGCAATGGTAAGACAGTGCTCAAGTTCATGCCGTGGACATGTTTGGGTTACAAGTACAGATGTAGTCTTAGTGATTACTACCTCTATTTTGCATTTAGCTGTTTTATGCTGGATTACTTTATTTTATTTTATTTACTTTATATACGTTTATGGACATAGAAGCTGATAAATAGGGAATATCTAAATTTTGAAAAGGAAAATATTGTGCATTGCCTCCTGATGTTGTGAGATAAACTATTTATCTTACCTGCTAGGTAACAGTCTGTCATTGGTTGCAAAATGTCCTACACAGTGACAGTGCTGTTGTAATGGTGAGGTGCTGCCCTGCTCTTCACCGCAAGGAAGACAGTGGGAAGTTTCCACTGAAGAGAACTTGCCAGACATATTGTGTATATGTGTTAAATATGTGTAATACTGTGTATACAAGGGAATTAGATTTAGTTTGGCTTTCTTTTTCACATAATAATGAACAATTAATGGCATACCTACGCATTCAAAAAACTGACTAGCAGAGTTGCTATCAGGGAAAGATATTCCACAGATGGCATAGGTAGGAACAGTCATGAATTTATTGATGGAGGAAAGAAGGTTGGTTATACTGTAAATGCTGCAAAATTGTGCATATTTCAGCTTTCCCGTAACTCTTTCAATCTCAATCTTCCTTACAGCCATAAACAAAGAGAAGCTTGAAAAAACAACTGGACTGAAAATTCTGCAGACTGGCGTGGGGGAGGTAAGTGGCTTGGGGGCATTTTACACTCCCAAAAACATTTTAATTGTTGTTTTTTTAAGAAATCCTGGAGCTCATGAACGTTTGTGAGCTACCAGTCTGATAGTGCTAAGGGCCTTTTTATGATACAGTTGCATCTGTCAAAATACAATCTGCTGCACAAATAGCACGATATCCCACAGAGAAAAAAATACCATCCTTATAAGAAAAGTGCAGCCGGCTTTAAGAAATGCAGTTTTTTGCTTTGTTGTATCACAGGAACAAAATCCCCAAAGAGGAGCACAGCCACTGAAGTTATCATATTATTCCTCTTGGTTTTGATGGAGTGCTATCTCATCTAGATCAATGAAAGTTTAAATTTGGGGTAAAGAGTCTTCAGATGTTAGAAAGAATCTGACAGTGAATGACTTGCTTATTTTGGATGTAACTTGAAACATGAATAAAATGTGTCTGTTATTATGGTGATATCACTAAGCAAAAATTCCACCAAGCAGTTGATCATTTATTAATAAAGATGATGCTATCTGCTAAGAACCTTGTATGAACTACAGTTGATTGCTAATTCTAGTGCTAATTTTGTGTACACTGTTATCTTTTTTTTTCCCTTTTCATTTAAGTAATTTTGCTAGTGGTGAATGCTCACAGGGCTAGACAAATGCCTTTTTCTTGTGATTACATTAATCTCAGTATTAAGAATAATGAATTACTAACTTGTAATATACTCAAGGAATTTACTTTTTTTCTTTTTTTACTGATTTTCATTTTTTATATTTCTAATTTTTATCAGTTCATGCCTAAGAACTTAACTTGCCAGGATTTCCGAGGTTCTTTGGTAACCTTATTCACATTATTAAAAGACTTGGTCCTGAAGAGGTACCAACACTGAGACCTGCTGAGATGCTCAGGGTCAAAGCTGTAAGAATTAGAACTTGGAAACAAACATAGGTGAAATCATCAGAAAATGAAAGCCAGCATCTCTCCTTAACTGGACCTGATTTAACTAGTTGAGGTTCTCAAGGGTGCATAACCTCAAGAGCTGGGAAGTGTATCCTGGAGCATGGATGTGCACCTCAGGCTGTGTCCTGACTTCAAGCCAGAGTGAAGCTTGCGTTTGGGCTATGCACAAGCCCTGGTATCTGCTAAATAACAGGAGAACCAGGACTGTGGCACGGACTATGGAAGCCACATTCAGTAAAATTTTACCTAACAGTATTCCTCATGCTGATGAAATACCTCCATGTATTTTGTCCGATTCCAGTCATTGAATGGATTCCAGTTGACTTCAAAGTCAGCTGGAAAATGAAAGCCCACTTCACTTCATATGCCTACTGTTAAATGAATTGTTATCTTATATGTGGTCAATGGAGAAAGAAAGCACTTTTGGATATTTGAAATGCAAGAAGTTGTCACCTGTTAAATGCATCATTAATCCACATTGTAGTAATAAGGTTGTTGCAACCACGGTAGTCTAAGGATGTACTGGAGATACAGCCTCGAGGACTTCCTAGCTTTTTTTAAGACCAGCTAATAGAACTGGAAAGAATAGACAAGTTCTTAGGCTAGAGATCTCCCCAGTCTGGTTCTTGTGCTTGGTTTAGTAAAAGTCACTGCAGAACTCATCTCCCATATATTTAGGCTATCATAGCTTTTAAAAATTCTGGTGATACTACTTGGATTAATAAAGACTTTGACAGAAAGTTGTACTTTACACTTTGCCAAATATGTATTTTTAGAAGGCAAAAAGTGAAAATGAATTAACCAAAGGGAAGCAGACATTTCAGCCTAAATATATCCCAGGCTACATCTGAGATATGGTGATCAGCAGCGAAAGAACCAAGTGGTATGGAACATTAAGGTGATAAAAGAACATTTATTCAGCTGCTTATATATTTTGTTGGATGTAAATTCTCCCAGCTGTGTACATTCCCCTTTTTAAGTCTTATCAGATATGATTGTGTACATAATGAATACATTTGTGCAGTCTCACCTACATGAAAAATAATGGAGTGCTGTAACCAAGCTGTTTCTTTGTTGGTAGGGTATCAGATTCAGGCTATTTCAGGTTAAATCTAACTATGTTGATCCAGTTTTGCAGTTTGTTTTTGATTCACCCTGGTGTTTAACAGTGTTAAAATAATAGAAATTACATATTTTAACATAATGAAGGAGCCTTTTGTTGAATAAGGATTCCTTTTTCTTCACGCTGTAGGAATGGAGTTATATGTAACGGTGACTGTAAATCAAAGTCAAGATGCTCAAATCAAAAGTACTTAGAAAACACTCTTTAGTTTCAGAATGAGAAATGGCCTTTTTGTTTGGACAGTAGGTCAGATTCATGACAAAGTTAATGGATATATAATCTTCACTTGCAGGACTGTAAAATAAAAAGGATTGATTTTGCATGGCAAGTTTCATATCTGAAATAGCTCAAGAGAAATACAGCTGAGATACTAGTGACAAATGGAGCAGCTGTATAAACAAATGCAGGAACTGTTCTAAGCTCAGCAATAATTCATGTGTTGCTCTGGACAGTGGAATCTGTTTTAGGTGTTGATCTATGATAGTGGGATTTGTACCTCAGGAAGAAATGTGTAGACACCAATGACTACCCAGGCCTTGGGTGCAGTAGAAGGAAACCATCTCTTTCTCTGTGGAGAAGAGAAATGCTTCTCAGAGCTCCTCAAACTCTCCCTCTCTCTCTTTC